GTCCGAAAAACGCGTGACGAAAGATTAGAATGCTCCCCATAAACAGAAATAACTGTTAGTCGGGTGTATGGCCGAGTGGGTAAGGTGTCCGCCTACAAAGCCAGAGGTCCTGGGTTCGAAACTCGGCACCGGCGAATTATTTCTGGATTATTTGATTTAGTCAAATAATATAAGGACACCATCAAGTATACGTTGTAACAATGAGAGAAACCCAATGTGTTAAGCATGTTCGAATTATGTAAAAATACAGGATCCACAGTTCCACGTGTTTCGAGAACCTAACTGACTACAGTTGATTCTCACCTTCGAAATACTGTCGATACCATCGTAACCTATATAGGCTACAGAGGAAATAGTCGTGAGTTCGAACGACAATTGGGACCGCTAATTACCGATGGCGGCACTCGTTTTCACCAATATGGACGATTTTAGGCTTGCCATATACACGCAAGCCCAAATTGGGTTGTATACTGTCTGTGTGCAGCCCAATATCCGCCATTCATAGGTGGCGTTTTGATATTTAGCGTTTCCAATAAAGAGTCGCGAACCCGTCGCTAATGACCTAGCTGTCGATGCGACGTTAAGCCCCAACAAACAAACAAACAGAAATAACTGTTCCCGAAAATGAGAATACAATTATTCTCTTACTTCACTTCCATTCATGAATAACAAAATGTTGCTAATTTACCTGGACTTGTTCCTATTAAACTGCTGTCTAATTTCCACCTCGGTTCTTGTTTAGATAAAGAGGCTTCCAACCCTTTATAGCATATGGCACATAATATTGCTAAACCAGTGAAGAAACATAGGTAGAACAGCCCTGTTATTCCTGCAATTAATTAAAAAAACAAAACTATAATCAGCATTTTTGGCATGAAATAAGTCGATTTTGACTATTGCCCAGTTTTCAATGAATAGCTCAAAATCTAAGGGAAATATCAAAACTTTTGTCATAACCTTTTTTGTAGAGCAAATTGAGAGCTGCAAAAAAGGACATTACAACAATCCAGCTATTTCCCTTAGATTCCGAGATATTTATTGAAAGCTCGCCAATAGTCAAAATCGACTTATACCGGTTTACCACTTCGTTACTGAATTATTTACTTAATGAAAAATTCACAGTCCCATCAACTATTTAATTCAAAATGTATGTCAAATATTTTATTCATTATCAATCACAAATTTAAATGATTAATATCAAATTCGCAAATATGCAAATTCCTTTAACCCTAGTCTGATCACCAAACGCGACCCTGTGACTGGTCACCTCCGCGGGGATTCCCCGCCGTGTTATTTAGGCTCAAGCGTTGTCAAAGTCCCTCTACACTGCCCGGGCGCATGATGGGCAATTTCATTTAACATGTGAAAATATAATTCATTTGTTCGAAATAATTTGTTCGAAGTAATTTGTTTTTTGAAATAATTTAAAACGACGCAGCGCGGGGTTTCCCCTCCGATGGTGACCAATCTAGGGTTAATATTGATGAAATTTAATATTGATGGCCATCCCTACTCGAGCGGAAGCAATCAATTAACACAAAAATCGTAATCAACATTCACGACATGAAAATTTATTTCACTCATCAGGAATGATAATATTCAAGGAACATCAGAGTACACTTCGTGCATCTCAAAATGCTCCGAAGCTGGCTCCTTGCCCGGCTAAATGTAGCTATGTTGCCTTAGAAAAGTCAATGAATGCGTAGATCGAGTGCGTCACGATCACTAATTTCGTACGTGTCTCAGTCCCCCACCTTCTCACTCTATGAGAGCAAAGAACACCCACTATTGATTGTGCTCCGAAACATGTTGCCATCACCAACCTGTTTCGAAGCTGAATAATTGATTTTTTTGGTGGATAGAAGGGAACTCTTGTCGTCATCATGTTGTTTCGTAACTTTCACGTGATGTTTGTAAAGCCATTTCGTCATTCACTAGCCCTGCACAAAAATACAAGGTCTCAGAATCCTCCTGGGCTTAACAAAGTGGAAATATCTATTAAGATATCCCGTGTAGAAAAATTTCTGTCTTTAGAAGGTCTTCTAGAAATCTTGGGAAGAATCTTCGAAAGATTATGTAGAAGATCTGCTTGGTGACCCAAAAAGATTCTTCAGAAGACAAAATTTTAAGGGTCAAAATTTTCAGAGTCCAAAATTCAGGGCTTAGTAATTTGAGCGTCAAAAAAGTAAGGATCAAAGGAGTAAGGATCGAAAATTAAAATTATCTTTGGAAGATTTTGTCTTCTGAAGAATCTTTTTGGGTCACCAAGCAGATCTTCTACATAATCTTTCGAAGATTCTTCCCAAGATTTCTAGAAGACCTTCTAAAGACAGAAATTTTTCTACACGGGGAGATATTCCACATTTGTTAACTCATGCACTCAAATGCTAATTCGCACGTTTGTATCTGTGTATCTCTATTTTTTCTGTGTTTAGACACCTTGTATTTTTAAGTCATATAAAACGACTCAGGAGTTTGTTTACATAACTTTGAAATACTATGTTCAATCGAGAGGAAAATAATCCTGCAGCTGAATCATGGAGAACGGAGAGAAGGGGAAGCTTGTCTCCCGATTATTTTGCGAATGAAGATTTAATTAGAGAAATTTAATAAGAAATATTTCTCTTTCGAATATCTTACAGAGATTCTTGGAAGGATCTTCAGAAGTTTATGTGAAAGATCTTGGTGACCCAAAAAGATTCTTCAGAAGACAAAATCTTTCAGAGGAAACTTCGAAAGATCTCTCGAAGATAAATTTGGAATATCTTTGGGAGCCAATTTTTTTAGAAGATCTTCGGAAGCCATTTTTTAGAAGATCTTTGGAAGACTATTTTTTTTTCTTCAGAAGACATTTTTTTTAAATCTTTGCGATCGCATCGTTAACATTTCAAGGATCAACAAATTGAGGGTCCAAAAACTTAGAGTCAAATCTTGTTGACCAGAAAAAAAAACCAAAAAAGTCTCAGATAAAAAAAAAATCTTAAAAAAAAATTGTCGTCTGAAGAAAAAAAAATTGTTTCCCGAAGATCTTCTGACTCCCAAGCATATTCCAAATTTATCTTCTAGAGATCTTTCGAAGTTTTCTCTGAAAGATTTTGTCTTCTGAAGAATCTTTTTGGGTCACTAAGAAGATCTTTCACATAAACTTCCGAAGATTCTTCCAAGAATCTCTGGAAGATATTCAAGACAGAATTTTTTTTACCCGGGAGGTTCAGAGAGAAACGTGAGCTTGAAATGAGCTTGTCCTTTCTCAAGATATTTGCGGAATAATTTCCACACCGTCACCACATTTCTCAAACTGGTTCACACTCATCCCATCCATGACACCGCAGAGAAAAACGTTTCTGGTTTCCAGCATCGCGGTATTGAAATGCAAAACCACTGTATTAAAATCAAGAACCCTGGGTTCTTAAAATAAGAACCGTTGAGGGCATTTAAATATTACATCATCACGCGATTCAGGAAGGGATTCGTGACGGAGCGAGGAGGGGGTTGCCCAAATTGTGACACCACAGCATAACTGATGAAGATAAGAGAATTATTATGTTTTTTCCAACCGTTATCATACATATTCAAATATCTTCTCACCCCGGCCATTTTACGATTTTCGGTAGTAATTGAAACTCATAAATTAATGAAGAACAACAAATTGCTATGTGCCAACGTTTCAAGTGTTAAGGGTGCCAAGTGAATTTGGCGATGACCTTGAAAATTGACATTCACCAACAAAGTTAATTTTTTTAATTAATAGTATTAGACAGATGGTGAACATCGGTGACAATTTTAAAATTTTAGAACTTATGGATATCGAGAAATTAAATAAACAAAATCAGTCTTATACACGGCCTCTTATGGAGTTTTGATTAAATTGAACGTTTCAACCCCCTAGGAACTCAAGAAAAATTTGAAAAAATTTGAAGATATGGGGAATGATGTGTTCAATGTGATGGCGACAAAAAACAATGGGGTACCGGGGTGAATAAGAGAGATATTTCAACCCGCCCTGCCCATTTGATCCCACGCTTTCTCGAGGTTCGTCACGCGAAATAGAGGATTTTCCGCATTTATTTTCTCGATGTCTAGTTCCGGTTGCGGGTTTGAAATTTCGTCGGATGGATGAATACATATTTCTCCAATGATGGAGGGAAAGAAAAAATTTTTTTTGAATCTTTTTTCAAATTCACTTGGCGCCCTTAAATATCACTCCTCCCCAGGGCATTCTATATTTAATCCATCTACACAAATCAAACAATAACATATTATTTATCACTAGGGGGCTTCGCCCCCTGCTCGCTTCGCTCGCCAACCCCGGGGGGCTGCGCCCCCCCGCTCGCTTCGCTCGCTCCCCCCCAATCCAACTGTCACTCCTCCCTTCTAACCCTCCCGACCTTGGGCACCCCCTGACCACCCCCCACCTTTAGGCGTCGCCTGAATTTTTGCNATCCAACTGTCAGCCCCCCCACCGCGTTTGACCCTGGGACACCCTCCTCCCTTCTAACCCCCCCGACCTTGGGCACCCCCTGACCACCCCCCCACCTTTAGGCATCGCCTGAATTTTTGCGTCGCCTGAATTGTCTTAAATTTTGCCCTTATTTTTTTATTATAATTTTTTAACTATTGCAATTTCATTTAAGTTTGAAAATAATATAAATTGATAAATTATGTATTAATAAATTATTAATGAAGATAATTTGAGGGGGAAGGGATGTCAATTTAAGAACCTAAAGGGTTTTATCTTAGGAACCCAAAATACTAGATTCCAGTGAACATTACTGAGAACTAAAAGTTTTTCTCTGATTTTTGCAAAAAATTCACTGGAATCCAGTGCTGCTTTTCCCTGTGAATGTAAAACAGTTTATTACTTTTTCCATTCAATTGTACCAATTAGGTAAATATTTTTCTTTTGTAATTTTCACCCTATACCCCGTACTTTGTACGTAAAACATAAATACAAGGCTGAAGGCCCTCGGACGATGGCCAGTCTTGGCCAGATGGCAAGCTTCTGGTGACGAATTCCGTCAAAAATAAAAATGAATAATGACCCGATCCATTTGTACAAATTCAGAGTAGATTGTTAGGAAAAAAATGGAATTTAATTGACAGTTTAGTGATAGTATAGTAATAGTTCTCCGAAGAGCGATGTTGAATTCAATTTAAGAGGAAAGAATCATGAAATTTCGAATTCCATTGAAAATTCAATGGAATTTCCGATTTTTGAGCAGTAGGGAATCAAGAATTCCCCAATTTACTGGCAATTAATTGGCATTTCCGTAATGTATTTATGAAAATTCCTGATTTCTTTAATTTTTATGGAAATAATTGGAATTATTGAACTGACATTAACAATTTCCTTTGACTTTTTAATCAACCTGTAGGGTTTCGATTACAAAATGCCTTGAAATTTCAGAAGAACTGCCACTTAATAAAATTTTTTAATAACTGTGACGGAAATTTCAGCCCAAAATTTGAGAGTGCACTGATAGAAAGGATTAGTTATTGTTAACAAATCGATTTATTATTGTTAACAAGTTGAAGTCTAGGGTCTATTCAGTCTCACCAAATGTTCATTCAAATTGCTAATTTATTAGTAAAAAGTTATTGACTATGTTGTGACGAAAGCAATTTCCCACTCGTTCAGATGATTTTCCCCTAGAATTTAACAGCATTTCACAAATAATTATTAATTTATTCTTCAATTATTGAGTCTTTCATTTATTTAGAACACCTGTCATTAATATTTAATTTCACTTCTGAATTTTAGTCATCAAAATTCTTGACGCCGAGGGTAACTCTGTTCGTGTCAATTATCAGAAGAAATTAGAAATATAT